TTACAAAACTATACTCGTTTTTTTTTATTCCGCACCAAAAAGACAAAAAACTAGTTACGAGAAATAAAAATAATAATTCTTAAAAAGTGTAATTGATTCTATGCGTATGGYGAAAAATATTACAGCGGTTAGTTTGAGCTCAATTGCAGGCTTTGTGAGAAGAATTTATTTTTTAATTCAGCTGTAGGTACGTTTTTTTTTTTTTKAATAACAACTATTTCAAAATACTTACTATATTAGTGAAACGATGTATTCTCATCGGGAATAGTTCATTTAGTTTTGCATTAAACGACTTATAAAATCATAGATTAAAGAATTAAAACGTTTTTTAATGAACTTTTTAATTTGAATATATGTAATACAGTTGATGGGGATTATGTTTCCGCTGTACTACGCTACTGATAATGCACTTGTATAGACATATTATTGTAGAGACATAGTATATAGTAACCACTAAGAATAGTTTGTAATTTTAATATTGTATTAAGTACTCACTATACCTATTCACTAGTGTGATAGTGCGTTTGATCAGCTTAAAATTTTGTGTTTTTTGATTTTTCGACCGCTACAGGTACAAAAACTTGGAACGACATTTACGGTGCGTGGATGAGTTTACCCGCCGGTGCATGACGCCTGATCAACGCGGAGCCTTTTACTCGCTGTACACCGTTCCAACGTTAGACATGCAAGAGCTGTGTACTGAGGGTAGCCCTTATAGGGAGGGTTAGTATCTATATAACATACCCTAATATTTTTTATAGAATTTTGTTGTCGTGTAACATTTCATCACTACGTAAATTTCACACTTAGAATACTTGAAACACGCCGCTTGTCTGCGAACCGTGCATACCGAGTACGTCCAGTGTGGACGTCGACACCAATCCGAATTGGCCTCCTTAATGATTGATCAGGGGCAGCATACCGGAAACGATGGAACTGTAGCTTCGACCGCGTCACCAATTGCGAGCGCCGAACAGATAACACAGAACCTGGCCCGCCTGTGTGGGTGAGTGTTATCATTTGTCATACTGTACATAACTTACTGGTAGCAATGGTTGCTGACGACTGAATGAGATATATTATAATAATTGTGCAAGGCATTCGTTATCCCCGAACATGTTRTATTAAATGTGCAACAGGAAAAATTTTAAATAAAGTAAATATTATGATTAAACAAATGAAATATGCAACAAAACGAGTAACTATAATTTACAGTGATTACAATAAATATAAATATCGTTAATTTATTTATTTACCACTGCATGGATTTGGACTTTATATACCTACCTAATTTAATTAACGCATTTTATGTCTTGAAAGTTATAATTTATATGACATTGTTACGATCGGTTGTTACAGTATAAGTATCACAGATATCTGTCAATTGACTTTATTTTCAACGTTCGCTCTCCTAAAACCGTATAACGATGTATAATTAACATTATTTACGATTTACATGTACAACTTGTAATTAAAATATTCTATGATTTTGTATTCCAAGGCAATATATTAATAAATAATAATGTCAGCATACGATTTGTCAACACTTTGAATTTAAATGCATAGGTAGGTAGAATGTATTTGAGTGTATATATGTATATTTATATCATTATTTCAACTGTATTAATTAAAATAACATCACTATACAGCTGTTGATGCATTTTAATAAATAATAACATAAAAAATACATAGGTTTTAGTTATTTTGATTGAGCAATAGGGATAACCTTTATAAATACAATTTAATATTTACTTTATAAGTAAATATTTTGAATTTGTGATCATTTTGGATCAATCATTTACTCTTTTAGGTACATATACTATACTTTCTAGCGTATTTTTCCAATGATTTTTTGTATACTTACACATACCTACATTATTGATCAAAGACGAATTTCATACTCATTAAACATTTTTTAATATCAATTTGTTTCATTTTTACCAACAGATCATTCAGAGGACATTTGCAGTGTGTACACGGAATTGTCCGAGCCACTTGTGGCCAGCAGACCGAAGAGTTCGCCAGTCAATTTCTTAGTCAAATGGCATCTTCGCTTTTGGTGAGTATTTAGCATTTCATATTTGTTAATATATAGGTATTTAAATTTATATGAAAAATAAATTTAAAATATCTGCTTGTACAAATATCACGTTCAAATTCCGAAATTTTTTTTAACGATGCGTATATACAATAACATAAATAATAATATATAGATTATTAATTTTACAATTCGCCATTCTTAAATCATACAYACCATAAACAGCATAGTGGTGATAAGATGATAGCAGAGTACCTATACCTATTTTCAAATGCAATTTATATGTGTTTTCCATTACATATATTGCAATATAACACTATACTAATTATTTCATGTAAAACAGTGTTGAGTAACTGCTGTTCAAATCGTCAAGAAATAAAATAGTAATAGCCAATAGGTAAACATTTCAAACATCTTGGGCCGCGAACGGTGAACGTCATTCGTATTTCGCCGTGATACAATTTTGTACGTTATGCGTTGTATAAAAATTATAAAATATAAAATCGGCAATTAAGTTACCTGCATCAGGTAAGGCGATGAACTTTGTTTTAATTTCCACACGCTCGTATAGTTCACTTACAACATATACCTATATTATCATCGTGTTATGTTTAAAAATATGTAATTATTCATTCGCACTAAAAGAGTAAAAACAATTTAATCATCGCTCAAACGTGATGCGTATCGCTGGACATTAATTGCCTACACTAAGCCCCTTATTGAAACACTAAATTATAGGTTGTATTTTTTAATCATACAACATTTTTTAAGTGGGTGAGTTTGACTCACTTTTGAATATAACTCGTGAACTTACAAATATTATGAACAAGTGATAAATTAAACTATAATACGCATTGTCTCGTCGAATTTTGCAGAACATCTGTGACAAGTACGGGAACGGAGTCAACGGTGATGTATCTCGGTCTCCATCATCCAGTGCCGTCCGGACTACCGGAAATATGGCCACGAGATTAGTGGCTTTACAGACAACGATCGTTATGGCATTTTCGTTTCGGYAATGGTGATGAATTCTGGCAGCCATCAGACATCCACGATGTTCATTTTAAACAAAAGCTATAAATGCCGCCTCGCCATAATTCTATATACCTACCTACTATATGATTATTCTTGCCTACATTAGATCATAACTATATAGATGATTATTATTATTATTACTATTAAATTATTTTCACTATACTATGTTTATTAGGTATTAATTTATTATTGTTACTATTCCTGATATGTCATACTACTGCGTATAATGTGAATCGTACTGTGATGTGTATTATTTCGGGAGTGTTAATTATTATTTGATATTATTATTAGGCATATTATAGTTTGTTTTGTTTGTTTGTATTCTCGCAATKTTATATTGCGGCAGTTTTATTWWAAAAAAATAGTGAATAAAATAAAAATTKTATTTTGCTTGGTTTATATTGTAAATTTGTAATACCTATATATCGATCCATGTATTCATGCGTAACCAAGGCGTATCTGTAATCTGTTATATGGGATTTGTATGTTTTGTTCAAAATAAAACATCAAATACATCACATATTACAGTGTCGCATTATAAAATCGTTAGAACTTTAAAGAGAACGGAAAAATAAAAAATAAATAATTTCAAGTTTTTTTTCCCCCGAAAAAATCAAAACACATAAATATGAGATCGTTTTACTTTATCAGGTTGAAATATTATACATACAACAAACAAAATTGTATTGACATATTGCCATGAGCAGTGCAGGTATATGCAATATCGTAGATAAGCACAGACGTAAAATATATAGTGTAAGAATCTGCATTGAAAACTATCTACGTATTAAATAATGCGTATCGATATAAAAATATTCATTAACGCTTAGGAGGGTATCTACACAAAATAAAAAATAATAATATATACATATACATTTATTGATCACAATAATTATTTAAAATTTGAATCTTGGTATAGAGTTATAGACAATAGATATTGGAAAAAATTTAAAAATTCTTACGAAATCATTAAATAACCATACTACGTAGAACAATAAAATATGAAAAATATTACTTATATTTGATGATGTAAAATAATTTGGAAATATAAATTTTATATCAATAAATTTCAACCTACAGTTTAGTTTTTAAATTCATATGAATACCATACCTGAAAATATAGTCATTCAATAAGCAAAGTTGTTTTTTGCTCTTTTTCAGTACCTGGCTATTTGTATATGTATTATAATATAGACTATAGCAGCGGTTCTCGACCTCTTAAGCAGGCGGTGCCCTTTTGTTAGGGGCCTTTCTGTGAATATCACGAGGAACGTGATAAAAATAAACACTAGTTTTCATTCATAATTGATTTAAGTAATTTTATTGAACATATTACTAACAAATTATAATTTTATAGTTGAAAGTAAAAAGAAAAAATTCTGCTTTAATAGTGAAAAACTAATAATTACCTAATGAAATATTTGAGGCTGCTTATATTTTTGGAAAGTTTGACAATATTTTTATCTATTATTCAATTATTCGACACGTATTAGAAACATTATATTTAATATTAGATATGCTGCAGATAGTGTGCTAAGTAATTTTATACGTAAAACAATTTTTTGTCTTTTCAGCTACAATACATTTTAAATATATAATTTAATAATTTTTTTTTTATTACCGCATGAGCCGCGTGCCCCTTAAATGAGCTTGCGGTGCACAGTTTGARAACTGCTGGTCTATATCATTGTTCCCTAAAATACTGTGGGTCCTTATGTATACCGGAAGGGGTCCGCGAACGTAAATTGAAACATTGTATACAAAAAGTACTTATCTATAAAACGAAAATACAAATGTCATATTCGTATTACAATAATAAATAATAAATACATTGTCGAAATAGTAATCGTTGAAAAGCAAATAAGATTAATCCTATAAAGATATTAGTCCTCATCGATCATTTTTATTTTCTCTAAGAGGTCTGGCAGGGAAAAAGTTCGGGAAACGCTGCTTTATAGGTATCTAATTGTAATGCAGCTTATGCAGCCGTAGGTATAGCCCATATAGGCTGTCGCGTTAATATCTGAACTGCCTATTAATTGGTTTATTTTTTCATTGATCTTACGCTTAAGTATAATACCTATATGAAATTAAGAGGACACTATACACGGCTATTTGCTGTCACTTGT